TATATATTTTTAATCATATATATATATATATATATATATATATATATATATATATATATATATATATAATTGACCCTTGAGGTTGTAGTAATGCTAATAGTGGGTTCCAATCACCGATCGACAATAACAACTAGATAGTGAAAAATGACGAATATTTATAATATAGGCAAACGTGTAATTTAATTAAATTGCTATATTTAACATACAAAGACAAATATATATATATATATATATATATATATATATAAACTCGCAATGTATAACATGTACAATATCATTATTTTCTTTTCTTATAAATTTTGGAATAAAACTGAAAAGAAATAACGAATTATTTCGAGATTATGAATTACCTAGAAATGCAAATATATCAAATGGAATAGAAAATGTTATTTTATTTGAAAAACTAACATATATCTTTAAAATTAAAATTTTGAAAAATAATATTATTTAATTAAAAATAAAAGTACGAAAAAAATAAATATATGATTTAGTAGGAAAGATAATAGTTGTATTGTCCATGAATATAGTAATTATATCATTCAGAAAATTGGCAAATCTTATAATTAATAAAGTGGAACTTATAATTAATTACATTGGGGTTAATAATATAATCAATTAGATGGACGAATGTGGGTGAGTTAGGAAAATGATTGTTTGTAAATTTGTTCGGTGGATTACTACTACTACTTTTTTCTTGAAAATTTTACATTTTGTCACACCAAAAAGAGAGGCTTTATCTTTGAGATGCGAAATGGATAAAAAGAAACTTTATAAAAATGAAAGGTTATTTAATATTTAAATAGATTCTTTTAAAAAAAAGTATTTTTTCAGAATAAAATAAACTTTAGTGTTTTTTTATTAGGTTTTTGAGATTTTGGCCATGATAAAATTACGTCGAATAATGGGGGATTTTTACGCTTTGATTTATGAAAAGTTATAAATGTAAATGAAAATTTTGAATCTTTGACCCGACGTAATATTTTCTAAATAAAGAAATATTATATGGTTTCATTATATTCCATTGAAACTCGGAAATGGAGTCTTAAAAAAATCAAACATGAATAAATCGAATTATCCTATGTTAACATACAAATAATATTTCAGTCTCACCTTAACATGGTCGAGGTTATTGGCAAACATAAAAAAAAAACAATATTTGGGTTTTTCCAACTTAATTTATTTTCGATAAATTTGTAAAAATGTTTTAATAGAACATGTCTTTAATTATGTGTTCAAAAGTCTCTTCGTTTAATATAATTTTGTTGGAGATTTTCGTATTTTAATATTTCAAAAATATTAATTTTCAAAAAAAGCAGTGCGAGTTTTTAAATATTCTTATTTTACTTAGTCTCTTCGTATTGTTTTAATATCAATTGATATTAATCACTTAATAGTGTTCATTATTGGCATTCTAACTCACAACAAGTTTCATTTAAAAAGATACAATATATATATATATGAAAATTAAAGCATGAATGCTTGGAGGATGGTAGAGAGTCAATGAAAAGGATAATAGAATATGATGATATATATTTAACTTGGCTTTGAAGCAACATCTACAAGTGTGTTGGTCGAATCGATTTTCAAGACACCAATATCATATTTATATAACGATCAAATTACGGTACTACAGTAGAGCGTTTTTGTAATTTAATATTTAAGATATATTAGTTTTTAAAATATAATTCACACCCAAATTTATTAATGGTTCCATATTCCAGGGAAAATGAAAAAAAAAATATAACATTTGGCATATCCCACCATTAGGGGTTTAATCCCAAGAACTCAAAGTCCCATTGCGATACAGCGTTCGCGTTCGCGTTTGCGTTTGGGGTTGCATTGGCGGTGGCGTTGGAGGCGGAGAAAGATTCGACGGAGAAGGTAGCGTGGCTGGGACTCTGGGAGTGTCAATTGAGTTGGGTTAAATGGTTTTTATCCAACCCAATTTAATAATATATCCAAATGGATTTAACCAATTGGGTTGATTTGTTTAAATGAGTTATATGGTTTAAATCCATTTTGGATTATATACTAAATGGGTTTACCCAAATAAAAATAAGTCCAACTAAAATTATTAAATCTAAAATTTCTTTTTTTTTTTTTCCGATTCCCTCTCTTGTTCACTGACGTAAACCCTAAATGGCTCTATCTCTTAATTTCAATTTGTTCCAGCAATTGTCTTCGTCGTTTCATCATCCGTCAACCTCTGTTTCGATCTTTGTTGTCGCCTCCTCTACACGATTTCGTTGTCTTTGTCGTCCGCCTCTGTGAGATCTCTAAGGCAAAGTCAGGATATCCGAGGAAGAGGGGCAAGAAAAGAGATCAGAGTCGTGGTGAGAGCGGGTGAGAAAAGAGAAGAAGAGGAGAGACGAGGCGGGGGGACGAGGAAACATCGAGTTTAGAGATGAAGAGAGGAGAACAAACTCTAGTCCTAACCGCAGACAAATCCGACAAATCGGATATAATCTCGCCAGCAAGTCACAATCAAGAAAACCTCCTTCATCCATCTGCAAGCCACCGTTGTATCGTTGTTTGTTTGAATATAAATAAGCTTTGTATTTCATATGTGAATTTTCCCCAATACCTTTTTTTTTTTAAATAAAGAAATTGCACCAACGGTCTAAATAAGGGCAACCGGATTGAAAAGAAAAAGGGAAATGGCGGAAGCACAAGCGGCGGCTCCTCCAGCGGATGTTCCACCTCCAGATTCACCGTATTACCTAAGCTCAGGTGATCAAATGAATCTCGTTCTTGTATCCGATCGTCTCACTGACGCTTTGGATTACAATTCATGGTGTTGTTCCGTCACTATGGCGTTGGAAGGCAGAAACAAGCTCGGATTCGTAGATGGATCTTTGCCAAAACCTGCTGAAACTGATCCGAATCTCAAGCACTGGCTTCGCAATAACGCGATTATCAAATCGTGGTTACTCAATTCTGTTTCGAAGACTATCACAATCAGTCTCATGTATGCGAAATCGGCTAGAGATATATGGCTCAATCTTGGTACTCGATTGAGTTATTCGTTTTTGACAAATACGGGTTTTGCATGGCTAACGTTGTTGTTTTTTTAGGTTGAGTTTTTAAAAGAATTGTCATTTTATGAGATCAAATAACAAATTTGAAGACAATACCTCAGGAACAACTCCAGGAGCCGACACTGTTACTGTTGTGGTTGTGGTTGTGGTTGTGGTTGTTGATGTCTTCAATCATCATTCCTTTTAAACTCTTGGCCAACCAAATGGCGGTTTCTCTGGGAGAAACCTTGTCTTTCCCGAACGGCTTCAACACCACCTCCAGCTCCTCTATTCTCTTCTGCTCCAACAACTCCGCCGACAGTTCCAACAGCCCTTCCAGTGCCTCCGCTCTCTGCCTGAATGACTTCACATCCAACGTTTCCGAGCAAGAGTTCCTCACTTCTGATTCTTTCGCTTTGGCTGCGGCTGCGGGTTCCGGTTTCGGATGACGTGCCTCGGGTTCCGAGATCCCCGACTCGTCGGAACCGTTTGATCTCATCGTCGTCGTCATTGTTTCCGAGGATGTTGGTGGTTTTGCAGGGACTACCTTCCGAACTTCAAGTTCATCTCTCACCACGTTTATCAGCTTTCCGACATCAACGTTGTGGACGCCGACTTCTACGCTTTCCATTACCGGCTGGTCACTCCCGACACGGAAACTGCTGTGCCTTATGACATGTATGACATCGTCCACAACGGGATGAAGATGAGAAGAGCTCATCTTTTCGACGACTGCTTTATCTGTCTGGGAAGAAACAATAGGCAGAGGACTTGGTTTGGTTTCAGCTGAGATGGAGATGAATTTGTCGTCTCCGAGTTTCTTGTCCGGAGATGCGTTTGGATCGCAGCTCTGTTTGGTTGCAGAGTCATCATCTTCCGGTATATGAGGAGGCACTTCTTGCTGAGCTGAAACAGTATTCTGATCATCAAACACAGTCCCGGGAATTTCGGTAAGCCGCCGGCTGGTGTTATGATCATCTCCAGGGATCTGAAGATTTCGAGGCAGATCTGAGAAAGCGGATGAAGGAAATGAGGAGATGGTTGGTAATGGCCCCGAGTAATCAGAACGGCGGGATCTTCCATGATCATCGGAAGCAGAGTGTTGTTCTGTCATGTCAATAAATGGGGTGGAAGCATCATCGCAAAGCTCGTATGCCTGCATGGAAAATGAAGACGAGACGGAATTACTGCTATCCGTCTGAATTCCTTTAGATGATCCGACAGAAATTCCTTTAAAGTTGGGTGGCGGATGAGAATTCGTTTCGGCCCCTCGTGTTACGGATGGATGTAGCCTTGTTGTGCCGTCATTGACCACTGTTGTATTCGGAACATCTTCTACTAATTGTCTCGGACTTGGACTTGGGCGCTCAATTAAAGACGGCCTTCTCGACACGACAGGAGGCGTTCTTTGCCTCAGTTTAGCTGACATTGCTTCCTCGGTTTCATGTTTAGTCGGAGGAAGTGGAATTCCGTCGTTTCTAGGCTTTGGTTTTGGCGTGGTCGCGACCATCTGCAGTGTGAATTAAACACATGAATCCTTAGCATTTCTACTAAATCAGGAACTCATGAGAGAGAAAACAAGAGAGTACCTGATGCTTCGGTGGATTCGATACCAGAGTCCTTCCCGCAGAATCAGAGGCTAGTTTTGATGAAGCAATGGGGGTATTTGCATTAGTCTTTGAACTAGGAGCGGTATCACTAAGTTTCGGAATCTTTGACGGAGTTTCAGCATTAGGCTTCAACCGATTAGTTCTCATGGGTGAACCATTTTCTCTGGCTTTCCCTTCTTTCAAGACCATCATGATGTTTCTGATAGTTTTCGGGTGCCTTGGATGAATATCCGGTCGCTGTACAGTACACGAGGGCTTTACCATCCCATGGCCATCTGTTTTCGTGGTAGAAACACCATTGTCATTTTGACGTTCGGCTGGTTGAGAATGGTCAGAGCAGTCTTCCTCGTCAACAGAAACTGAATCGGAATCAGTAGCTTTATTATCATTGCTCGGAACCATAGATTGGGCGTGTTTTTCACTTGAGAGCAGACTGTCTTTATCGCTAGAGCTGTTACTGTTCTGGCTTTCGGCCATACTCCTCCGACCATTACGAGAATTCAGAGGCTTCTCTGGAGATATAGTTGCTACTGGAGAAAGGGCTGGTCGGTATTGCTCAACATAAGTCTGCAGATAAGGATGCTTCAGAAGCTCAGAGGCCTGAAGAAAAATGAAGAAAGAAAACATGTTAGTTGGAATCTGGCTGGTGAAGATTACTTAAGCTGACGATTTGTGATCCTAATAAAACCATACGCTAGGCCGATGCTCCGGGCTCTTCCTTAGCATGCCCTTGATGAGAGATTTTCTGCGGCACAGAAAAAGGCAAAAAAAGGAAAGGAAAGGGAAGGAGTGAAAAATAATACTATGAGGCATTCCAAACATGTTTTACACGAAAACTGGCACACAGATTTTCGCCTAACATGAAATAATAGTCTGGCCCTGGTGTTCTTGGGAAGGAAAAGGCCATGTTCAAATCATAAAATACAGAAGACCATAACAAGCTAAAGAATAGCGCAGTCTTACAAAGATGGAGAATAGCAAGGAGGCAGTGGACCGATAGAGGAACGATTAATCTTGCTTATCAACCCTGCCATGTCCTGATACCATAAACAAATTTACATCAGATACCACTATGTACCACCTTAAAAAGATCAAATTCAGAGAATACCGAGAATCCTCAAAAGCCTGTATACAGCTCGGATTTTTTCCTTTTACCTTCAGCGACCAATCACCCAACAAACCAGGAGGACCCCCTTAAGGAAAGGACTTATTTCACATTTTCACACAAAGCTAAAGAATGAAAAGCATCTAAACTAACTTACAAAAGCTTTAAAGGCAGGGCGATGTGCAGCCATCTCATATATACAGCAGCCTGTTTGCAGAAAACCATCTTAGCCTCGGTAACAATAGCACAAGGCATAACCATTAAAACGGATAACAGTTACCAACATACCTAGGGACCAGATATCGGATTTGAAACCATAAGGAATATCCGTAAGCAGTTCAGGGCACATGTAGTTTGGAGTTCCGACCACCTAAATAAAGGATGCCATAAGTTATCGCAGAAACACAAAAGTCTCAGTCACACTTCCACCAAAAAGCCATATTCTACTATTAGTTGAGAAGATATCTTGAGAGCAATACCAAGAACAATCATCCATACAAAAAGTCAGTAGGGAGGTTCACTTGTAAAAATTTGTTTAGATAGCTTATGTTAGATGGATGGGGAAGATAACTGTCCAAACGTTTTGTTCACATAACTACATCCAACCCTGGCTAATTCATACTCTAGATTATCTCTGTATGCGTCAATCACAAGGACTTGTATGGCATACCGAGGAAGCCAAGTCATCCGCCTTCAAAGTTTTTGCAAGCCCAAAATCCCCTAAGCAAGACAGAATGGAATAAAATCATTGAAGTATTGAATCCAGCTGAATTTCTTTGAACACATCACAAATGAAACTTACCAAGGCGAACATCGTGATCTTTTGTAAGAAAAATGTTGGAACACTGGAAAGGGAAAGCTAACAAAATAAGTCCATAAAACTTTTAAGCAAAGCGTGAGATCCAAACAACTAGCACATCCAATATTTTTTACCTTTAAATCACGATGCAGAACGAAATTGGAATGCAGATACTCGACAGCTGATAATAATTGAGTAAACCACTTGCAGAGTTTCTGCAGAATTCACAATAAGGAACGAGCAAAAGATTAATATCCATTAACTTGAGCTGAGAACATGTCGGATGAAACATATCTTAGTAGTACCTCCTCTGGAAAGTACACCCCATTCGACTTTTTCATTAACTCAGCCCTGCAAAACAATTACAGGAACATACAAACATTTTCTTTGAATTCTGTAGACTAACCAACAAAACTAAACTCGAACTCAAATCCAAATTTCGAGTAAGTCGACTCACATGTCTCCTCCTTCGCAGTATCCAGTGACAATGCAAACATAGCAACCCTACGTTTCAAATCTAACGCGTCAAAAAAGAAATACTGCAACCAGAAAGAATTGCATCCTGAGAAAAGAGAAGTTCTATTATCTTTTACCTTTTCAACCCAAGCTTCCTTGAACTCGACAATGTAAGGATGCTGAAGCCGCGCGATTAAGGCCATCTGCGTTCCACAGGTATGGTGAAATGCAGAGAGAGAACAACAAATTCGGGAAACGAAATCTAATACAATCCGAATGCAATCTCGTCGGATTCGACTGGGAAAATCAAATTACCTCCTGGTGAGCTGATCTCCGGCAACGCTCTGTTTGCCGAGCTAATCTGATCTTCTTCAGAACATACCTAAATCATCGTCAATGTAAATAACGAAATCTGAAGACAGAGAACTTGAGAAAGCGTAATGGAAAAAACAAACTCACTTCTTCTTCTCGGCCTTGTGATTGACGAGAATGGCGGCGCCGAACGCGCCACGGCCGATCTGCTCCATGATCTCGTACTGATCCATCCGAGACTCCATTGCTCTTCCACAGAGCTTCCACCAACCAACACAAAAGCTTCACCTCCAATTTGCAATAATAAGGCGAAAAAGAAAGAAAGAACCAATTCAAACTTGCTTCTCTTCAACGTAATCCTCGCATTTTCCCTGTCCTACACGCTTCGTTTTCCCGATTCTCCGATTCAAACCACTCGATTTCCGGCCCTCGCATTTTTAAACCGGAAATGAATGAGATTAAGCCGCCGAATCAAATTCAAATCCAGACATTTTCCGATCTGAGACTGACAGAAACAGAAATTCTTCCAGATTCCGATGCGATAAAGGAAAAAGAGAAGAGAGCTCTCTCTCTCTCTCTCTCTCGAATTCTGGATTCGTCCTTTCGTCTTTTTCGTCCCTGATCAGTTCACTGCCACTGTTACAAGCTAAACGAGGAAAAAAGGTGACTTTCCTTGAAAATATGGAGTTTCTGATTTATCGAAATTGGACGAAAATAGGGGAAATAAAAGGCAGTTAAACTAACTACACCTGCTGGATCCAGGTTAGTAATTAACCATTGTGTCAATTATTATTTTGGATATATATAATAATCATAAAAATATAATGATACATCTTTCTTTGGTGTGGTTTTCCTTATGGAATTGACAAACTATAATATATATATATATATAATGTTCGATGTAAACTCTGAAACTAAATCGTTACAGGTTGGTATCTCTACTACTGTTTGGATTGAAGTCAATGCGATAAATCAAACAAATATTTTTTTTAATGATAGTTATTTTATTATGAAATTGCTATGTTCGCTAGAACAGTTGGATTTTAATATTCTTACAAATAACTAAATATGTTATTAGTATGTAACAAAACATAAAACTAGTTTTTTATCAAATAAAATTACAATTTTATTTTTTCATTAAAAAATAAACTCGAATTTTATAATCGTTATTATTTTTAAAGATATAATATATCGATATTCTATTTAACAAGTAAATACTTTAACCATATTTATTAGATTATGATTTATATATCACGATATCATTATGCTATATTTTACTTGATGTTTTATTTGATAAAAATTTAAAATTGAGTTTTTTAAAAAAGTTGACAAGTTTAGATATTTTTTATTTTTAATAATAATAATAATAATAAAATGATGCATGGCTTAACTTAGCTTAACGCAGCCGACAAAACCAGCTGTTGAAGTGTGCGAAAGGTCCCTCCACTCTCTAATGGCGCATAATATACTTTAAATTTTTACTGTGATTTTGTATCTATTTTATCCAAATATAAAATTCTTTCCCATATTATTTATATATTAATAATTTCAATAACTTACGTTAATCTAACTCTATACAAAAATATCGAAATATATTTATGGAACGGTCTGACCAAAGGAGATTTACATATGTGAAATTGTTTTAAAAAAAATGTCAAAATCTCAGAAGAATTATTGAGAGAATAGGGTTTTAAAATTGTAATATTAATGCATGTTACAGACATTTTTTCCAAGGGACCCATTTTAAAAATAAATAAATAAATAAATAGGCATCATGGAGTTTTTGTGGTATAATTTTTATGATAAATGGCATTCAATGTCTGTGACAGTCCACAAATAAAATAAAAAATAAATTAAATACACCACATGAGCATGTGTCGGTCGATTCTTTTGTACATTAACTAATCTATTATAACACCCTCATTGCCATCCACCAGATACTGTTATCATCATAGTGCAGCCAAAAATCACATGCAATAATTTCGTTTTTTTTATAACGGGCTATAACCAACTATATGATTTGGTTTAATTATACGCATTTGTTTCAAATTTAAGATTCAAATTCAGTACGTAACATACATTTTACATTCGTTTCAACGGTTGAACTACATAAATTTGAGTATAATTTTATTATTTTTTTGCTAACAATACATAATTTTGCTGGGAAACAATACGTCCATATCATTGTATTAAATTGCATTGATTACATGTTGAATTATCGAAACGTATTAGGTTACCATTTAATCTTTAAAAATGTACCAGTAAAATTTATTCTATACAATTTTATAAAAATAATGCTATACAAGATATGGTCGAGTGTCAAAGTTTTTTAATTACATTTTTTATCACAACTGAATAAAATTTATGAGTACTTCAAATTTGATAAAGTCTTATGAAAAAAATAATACCTGAAAAAGCCATAATTTTTAATGAAAACATCTAACTATAAATTAAGAATATTTTTATTTAGTATAAATTAATTTAGAATTTATACCTTTTCAATTTTAATGTTGCCTATATTTGATGCTACCTATATTCGAAGATATATATATATATATATATATATTAACATATGAAATTTTAACATTTATATGAAAACGGGAACATTAAAGATATAAATAAAAGGGATATTTTTTTGGCAATTTAAATATGTTATTGTAGATTAGGTTATAAAAGGAAATAAGTTAGGTTAGCGAAGTTTGACAGCGCTAAAATTAGAGAGATAAAGAGACACAATAAAGGTGCACTCTCACTTTCATTTGCAGTTTAATTATCACTATTTAGTGGTCTAATCAAATTATTTTCTTGGTTTATAATTCATTGGCGGTTTAATTTAAACATAATTATCCCCATATTTCTTATTTCATACTATTACGAGTTCTTACCTTTCATTTTAAGGAATTAATTTCGCTTATATAAAGGAAAAATCCCGTTATATTATAGATAATTTATTCTAGTTTACAAATTATACTAGCTAAACAAATATATAGGAAATTAGGAAAAGAAAAGTCAAATTTTGTATTTTCATGATATATTATAATAGATCATTTTATTTTATAAATTGATGGGCAGAAAGAAGTATAAGGGCAATGCAATTGAGATATAGTTTAACTTTTACTTTCAATTTTATTGTTTAAAGATATAATTTTTTTACTAAACTATTAAAACAACTAATTACCACATCTGAATGTTTATCCACACAAATTCTATCTGTTTCTCTGATAACAAATATGACATTACAAGGATAAAAATTACTGTCTCCCCTCCTTTTTTGTAATGATGATTAACTCTTAATTTAAGAAAACTATTCATCCTTTTTATTTAAAGTTAATCCCTTTCTTTGTTTTCTGCAATTAAAAAGAAACAAGGCAGTCTCACAGAGGCGGTAAGAAAAATGTAAAGGAAAAAAATATTAGGTATAAGATAAATAGATAAATCCGCATATGTATATATGAAAATATATGGTTAATTTAACCTAATAGATTATTAATTTAATTATATGATTTCGATTCGATGATTCATCTTGAAGATATATTTAGAAATATTTATCGTTTTTAATTTTTATTTGAAATATATCTATATTCATACAAATTAATTTCGCCTGGATCATACAAAATAACAAAAACATTTTTTTTAGATATAAAAAAAGGAAAGATCAATCGTAATTTGCATGTGCATGTTTAAACACTAAATCCACGGTGTGATTTCCTGTTCTCTAACATTATTTGTATATTACTTTAAACATTATATTAATAAAACCTACAATTTTTAAACCTATATAAAATTTTTAATGGCGAAAAATAAAATAAAAGATATCGACGAGTGATTAGAAAGATGCGGAACTTTATTTTTTTAAAGCACGACTTTTTGTATCCAATCATATTCTATACTTTTAAGTTTTATTTACATAACAGTTAAATTACTACAGTAATTTTTCTGTATTTTTCACTAAACATCAAGAAATTATAATTTCTAAAATTGCAATGATGACAAACTAAATTATTATAAAATTTAAAACTGGCATAATTTCAAAACTAAAGCTAGATATAGTGATTCAGTTAGATTAAGATATTTTTTTTGTATATGTTCAGTTTTTATTTATGAAAATAATTATTTTTTATAATTTATATATTTGATTTTTTATGTTTTTAAAAAGTTAAACGTATTTAATTTTTCAAATTCTCATACAATTATATATATTCACTTTGATATAAAAAAAATCCAATTAAAAAGAGCGACTGTCCACAGAAGACAACGCATTTGGGCATTTAATGGGCCTACATAATTTTTTTTCCAAAAATCAAAAGCCCAATAGTTTCCTCGACGTTTCGATTCGAATGACATATTGGAAAAATCAAAGCTTCACCATTAATGGAAAACTTAATGATGTGAACAGGTGAATCCCCAGGGGCTAAGGGCCCTTCCCGAGTCTCTGGAAGGTGACGAATCTTCGGTAATAACGCGTAAATCCCCAAATGCCTTTTCCTCTCCCACAAGCCAATCACAACTTTTTCGAGCTGTAGTATATAATATATATATATATATATATAGTGCTGAAATCATCGTAGGTGAGAAACCCATCGGGAAGCATTCGAAAACTTTGTTCGTCTAGATTCTTGGGGATTTATCGGAAGAATGGAAGGGAAAGAATCGCCGGCGGGAAATTCGCGCAGGGTGGTGGTGATCGGCGGCGGTGTTGCCGGCTCCCTCGTCGCGAAATTGCTTCAGTTCGACGCTGATGTCACCCTCATCGATTCGTAAGCTTTTTCTTGACTAAATATTTTTTCTGATTCAGAATGATATCTCTTCCCTGTTTGATCATTCAATGTTCGTAGCTCGAAAAAGGAAAAAAGAAGTATTGGGAATCCAGCGTAGATTTAGTTACGAGCCTTGATGATGATGGCATATGATAATGAGGGTCTCTTTGAGATTAGGTTAAGAATGCGTGGAAAAGAGAGAAACCAAGAAATAGGCTTGAGAAGAAGGATTTCCAAAGGTTATTTTACAATGGTAGACAACCACTGTATCATTGATCAGTTCGTTTGTATCAGAAGTTGGTCGTATGCTTGTAATGGAATCATAATCATACATAGTTCATGTTAGGCAGCAGCATACCCATCAAGGGTATGGTGTAATGCTGCACTTAGATCGGGCTTTGGGTGTTCCACAAGATTGAAATTTCATTGAATTCAGGAAGGATTATTTCGAGATCACATGGGCAAGCTTGAGATCCATGGTGGAGCCTTCATTTGCCAAAAGATCAGTCATTTCCCATAAGGAGTACTTAAAAAATGGCCGTGTGGTCAGTTCTCCTGCTATCGATATCACCGATACTGATGTGATATGTTTGGATGACCTTGTCGTTGGATACGATTATCTTGTTATTGCAACCGGTCATAATGATGCATATCCCAAAACCCGGAGCGAGAAGCTGTCTCAATATCAATCAGGTATCTTCTATAGGCAATCTTTGCTTTCGTTTTGTTGGTTCCTTTTCCCTGTGTAAATAGCTGATAATGTCTGAATGGTAAGGACTATGCTATAGATAGTAAGCTGATGCTGTTTACGAGTTGGTGTTTGGGTGGGGAATTGTATCTTGAATGTTTGCATCTTTCAAGGCACAGTTTAGGTTAATAATTAGGACTTGTTTGAATTTTGGTGTGAATATTCCTCGAATTGAAGTATAGGAAATGCTTTGCCCTCAATGACTCGTACCATGTGCTTGCAGAATATGAAAAGATAAGATCTTCTGGGTCAATTCTGATCGTTGGTGGAGGTCCAACGGGTGTTGAGCTTGCTGCGGAAATTGCGGTTGATTTTCCCGAGAAGAAGGTTACTCTGGTGCATAGGGGGCCTAGGTTGCTGGAATTTATCGGCCAGAAAGCTGGTGACAAGGCTTTCGACTGGTTGAAATCGAAGAGAGTGGAAGTGATATTGAACCAATCAGTGGATTTGAATTCAGCCTCTGATGGAAACAAAACATACCGGACTTCGGGAGGAGAAACTATACATGCTGATTGCCATTTCCTCTGCACTGGAAAGCCTCTAGCTTCGGGTTTTCTGAAGGAAACTTTTCTAAAAGACAACATGGATGGTTATGGAAGGCTGATGGTTGACGGGTACTTGCGGGTTGAGGGTCTGAAGAACGTTTTTGCTATTGGAGATATTACAAATATCGAGGTTAGTGTGTGATATCCTTCAGCATAGTCGGTCTTTACACAACAAATGTGTTTTCTGAACTTGTAAACTGAACCTTGAATTTATCGATCATGTTTCTTGGTTTTGTTCTGTCATTGGAAGTGCCCTGCTCTAATGGTGTCTGTGATTCGTACATGTAGGAGATGAAACAAGGGTACATAGCCGAGAAACATGCCTCAGTTGCAGCGAAGAACATAAAGCTGCTGATGTCGGGAGAAAGAGAGAACAAGATGTCGATGTACAAAACGGGTCCAGAGATCGCGATTGTATCTCTGGGGAGATGGGACGCAGTGGCTCAGTTCCCGTTCATCACTGTTGCAGGTTGCCTCCCGGGTTTTATCAAATCTAGGGATCTTTTCGTGGGCAAGACGAGGAAAGCTCGAGGCTTAGATGCTGATCTTGCCGAGGATGCGTAACTTAGTTTTGGTTTCCTCAACAGAGGTTGTTCTCTCTGAAGACAAAAGTCTTGTTCTTTTGGTTGTGTGAAGACAAGGCTTGTTGTTTATTTCTATGAGACGTTTTGATGGTTTGTTTGAGTTCTTTTTGTGTCTGAATGGTATTTGCGTAATTTCAAGAAAAAAATTCTGATTTTTCCTTGCACTATTTTATTTTCTATTAATTATTAATTAGATAAAATGTTCAGCCCGTACCAATGATTTTAAAGAAATTTTTTATGTATAAAAAACTCTTTTTGACAATTTTACATTTTAAATTTAAAATTAAAGATCAAAAACTAAACTAAATGAAAAATTAACCAAAAATTTTCAATATTGGTCTATTAAAATTCATTTTACCCTAACCAAAAAAATAATAATAAAATTGTATGCTAAAGCCAAAATGTCCCAAGAACGGTTTTTCTTCGTCTCTCTCTTTGATTGTGGATGGGGTTTTTTACCCAAATGACCCACTTGGGTCGCAGTTATTTTAGCGTACACCATCGAAAAAAACAACTTTTTTTTTTAATTTTAACCCTCTTTTCGATTGAAAAAATCCAAAATACACTTTTTTTTTATTTTTTACGATCTTATTACGACTAACATATAACTTATATATAACTAAAATAAGACAGATGATTTTTTTGCCACCTTTTTTAGAATCAATTGTAATTTTTTGTTATCTTTTTTAGAATTAATTACGAACTCATAATAACGAAGTTGTTTTCGAACGAATAAATATCGTGTATTCGTTAAGGTAATTTCGTCTTTTCAACAAAAATTAATGTGTTATTTGTTTTTTTGTGGTGTAGGCCTGAAATAGTTGCGAGCTAAGTGCATTTGAGTAAAAACCCTCGTGGATGAGCATTGGGCAGTCTGAAGCCTTACCATAGTCATCTTCACCATCTCTCTCAGCGAATCTCAGTATTTCTTCACCATCGGAGAAACTCCGACATCGACGTCACTGTCGGAGCCTCCGCCGAGACGAATCTTCTGAAGCCGAAAGGTTCAGACATCAATTAGGCCTAGCGTTAACTCTGTTCATCTTCTGATCTGCAGATTCTGTCTAGATTTAGCATCATCTAGTTTCATCTTTCTCCGATTCAGTTCGTATCAGCAATAGTTGTAATTTGTAATTCGTAATTTAAGATCTTGAAGCTCGGGCGGAGGAGTATCTTACGTCACAAAATTTGTTGTATTCCAGCGATGAAGCCGGTGGGTTTTGGTTCCCTGCTCGTCTTCTCCATGCTTTTACGGATCGTGTTGATTGTCTATGGAGAATGGCAAGATGCTCACATGGAGGTTCGGTACACGGATGTGGACTACATTGTTTTCTCTGACGCTGCAGCTTTAATGGCGTCTGGTGAATCTCCTTACAAGAGAACTACGTATCGCTACTCACCTTTGCTCGCATTGCTCTTGATCCCCAATTCAATCTTCCATCGCTCCTGGGGAAAGATCCTGTTCTCAGCTTCTGGTATGAACACACTCTATGTACAGCAATATAATCATTTCTTTCCAGTGACTGGGTCTCTGAGAATTTGTTTCTTTGTTTTCATATTGCAGATTTACTGGTGGGCTTGTTTATTCGTGCTATTTTGAAACAACGGAAGGTGCCTGAGGAGATATGTACGTACTCTGTAATGGTATGGCTCCTCAATCCATTTACATTCACAATTGGAACCAGGGGGAACTGTGAACCAATTGCTTGTGCCATGATTCTTTGGATCATCATCTCTCTTATGAAAGGTACGCCCCCTTCTTTGGTGTTTTAGCATTTGGGTCGAATCTATTCTCCATGGACTTTAGCATAGCAGATTGTATTGATTCACTGAGTCAAGTTCTATAACTTAGAATGTGTGTGTGTGTGTGTGTTTCTTCTACATTAGATGATTATAGCCTTATAGGGGGATTTTAGAAGAGTGAAGGAATGATGTTGTGTGTAGAGAACTGAGTAATTTCCCCGTTCAGAAGGAAACAGTTAATTGTTAAAAAAAAAAACAATGTGATATAATTCTCTTATCGTGCAGCATTCACTGGCTTGCTTTATTTCGAAAGGTTGCAACTATGGTTTCGACAACCGTCATGCAACAGTATTGAACTGACGACCTCATAATATTGTCTTGTGTTGTGTAGGCAATTTGTTACAAGCCGCATTCTGGTATGGGCTTGTAGTGCACTTCAGAATCTATCCCATTATATATGCACTTCCGATCGTCCTGGTTCTGGATCCTCAGATATTCCAATCGGATCGAAAGCCTCTGCTTCAGGAGTGGAGTGCCGATCAGGGGAAGACGCCTCCTAGTAACACAAAGGAAAGGTTTTGCTTCCGCCATTTTGCTGCCTTGAGAAATTTATTTTCTTCACAGAGAATAACTTTCGCTTTGGTTTCTGGGGGAGTTTTTCTTGCTTGCAATGCTGTTTCCTATTATTTTTATGGACAAGAGTTCCTTCACGAGGCTTTATTATATCATCTTACCCGAACGGATCCAAGACACAACTTCTCCATCTACTTCTATCATATATATCTGCACTACGAGCATCAGTTTTCAGTTCTGGAGAAGCTCATCTCTTTTTTACCTCAGTTTGTGGTACAATTTGTTCTAGTGTTCTGTTTCGGACAGGATCTGCCCTTCTGCGTCTTTCTTCAGACCGTTGCGTTTGTGGCTTTCAATAAGGTAACACATCTGTCAATCTGTTTCACTTCTGTTGCTTCTTTGCCATCTGAAAGGTTTTTTCATTACTCCTTCTTGATGGAACATTTTTTGCTTCCAATTCTTGGCTTGTATATCGATTCACCCAAATAAACCCTTTTGATTAGAAATGATCATTTAACTGAAAAAATCCGATACCAAGAGCCTTTCTTGAACCCAAAATGTCCGGTCCAGTTTCAGACAAGAGAACCTGCTTACATAACGTGTTTGCTTAACTTGTCTTTCTCACGCACACACGCAGGTGATTACGGCGCAGTACTTTGTGTGGTTCTATTGTCTGCTTCCTCTTATACTGCCATGGAGCCGTATGAAGCTGAAATGGGAAGGCTTGTTATGCATCCTTGTCTGGATTGGAGCTCAGACCCATTGGCTGTTGTGGGGATACCTGCTCGAGTTCAAGGGCATAAATGTCTTTTTACAGCTATGGATGTCGAGTTTACTGTTTCTGGCGGCAAACACCTTTGTCCTTGTAAGAATCATCCGGTGCCATCGGTTCTCTCCTCTGTTCAAACGGCTCGAGTCTACCATTTCCAAGAAACCCGCGAAACTTGATTGATGGGTTATCGAAGAATGGCTTCATTCATGGGAGAAAAAAAGAAAAGATTCATCGTCTCGGGAGCTACAAAGGTGTTTGTTGTAAGAAAAGCAGAGGGAGGAGGAGGAGGCTGCGATTCGTTTATATCTCTTCGTGGGCATCTCGGAACTCTGGTTTCTACGTGATTTCTCAAGGTACGAGACTTAGATCGCCCATCCTCGGTAGAAAAAACTTTTTGTAGGCAGCGTATGAATGTCGGTAGAAAAAACATAGAAGATGAAAGAGGAGGTAGTCTGAGAAGTGAAGCTCATACGAGATGTCGGTTTTTTTTTTTTTTTTTGGTATAAGGTGAATCTATCCATTAATTTAAAATAGTTTACTTACAAAACATCCAGCCACAGCCGTACAAAATAGGATAACCATGTCACAAAATAAGCAAAATGTGAATGTGGTGTGCGTGTTTCTAACGTTGGTGCGTTCGGATACTTTCCGACAAGAAGAACCAGTCTTGCAACGTGGAAAGGCTGCCACCGTTACTTGCCATTGTAACAGAAATCAGGATGTTGCGCAATACTCGATCAATCCGCTGTTGAATCACATCACTCGTCGTTCGCTCCGATCGGAAAATCCTATTGTTCCGTTCCTTCCAGATTTGGTACACTGTAATCTGTAGGATCAATCTGCCTATGAGCGGCTTGCTATGGCTCGTGTCGGTTGCCCGATCAACCATCCATTCCCTGCATTGGAACACACTCATTGGCGGAGATGGCCATATCAAACTCCCCATTGTCAACCATATCCTTGAGCTGAACTCGCACTCAAAGAATAAATGTTGGTGCGTTTCCGAACCCCTTTGACAAAGCACACAGGTTGGGTCCATTTGTATTCCCCATCGAGCAAGTCTATCCTTAGTCGGTAATCGCAACAACATAATCTCCCATAACAAGAAAGAAAATCTCGGTATGTGATGCTTAAACCATACAATCTCATGCCACGATACCTCAGGTTGGTGCTGCCGAAGTAACATCCATGTGCTGGAGTTGGAAAACCATTGCTTATGCACTCCATCCTTGTGCTTCCAAAGCGGTTTGTCCGGGCCTTTTGCATCATCCGGGATGGGGGCAGTTGTTAGGGCCGTGAGAATGTCCTGCAGGCCCTGTGATCGTGCTCCACCCACTGTCCAATTTCCTTCAGAAATAGCTCCTCGAACATTGCTGTCACGTGGGATCCGAAGCAATCTTGGCCCTAAGTGCCCTGCAACATCAATGAGCGGTCGAGGACCCAACCAACAGTCATGCCAAAAGGAAGTTGTTTTCCCGTCGCCAACCTCATACCGCATAAATTGCTTCACCGTATCACGCAATGCCAACAACTTGCGAAGGTTCCACGAGTGTGTAGTTGAGCTAGCAGCACCCCAATACCCCTTCTGCTTCCAGATATTCCTTTGTAGCCAATCAGACCAAAGCGATTCGGTCTTTGTGAGCATATGCCAAGTGAGTTTCAGCCGTTGCACCATGTTGATGTCTAGTAGCTTCCTAAGGCCAAGTCCACCCTCAGAAGTTGGGCGGCAAACTTGTTCCCAGGCAACCCTCGAAACGGTTTTCCGCACCTCGTCCCCCTTACGTGCCCATAGGAAAGATGCACATATCCCATTAATCGCCTTGATGATGCATTTGGGAATGAGAAAGATCGAACTCCATAGAAGCACCTGTCCATAAATAACCGAACGGATTAACAATAATTTACCCGCCCGTGATAGAAAGTGGTTCGTCCAGGAGGCAAGTTTTGCCTTTATCCTCTCAACAAGAGGATAATAATCAGACTTGCAAGGCTTCCGATGACTCAGCGGTACCCCTAAGTAGCGGACAGGCAGATTCCCGATTGTGCAACCAAGGATTCCAGCCATGGCCGAGGCTTCAACAGCAGTGGTTCCGCTGAAGAATACCTCAGATTTGTCGTTGTTTACATGCAACCCAGACATGGCTCCAAACTCCTCCAATATACGTTTGACCTCATGCATAGAATCTAGATCAGCTTTGCAAAATACAAGTACATCATCCGCAAAGGCAAGATGGGTAATCTTTGGTCGCAAGCATTTGTGATGAGGTTTCAATCGACCCGCTGCACTCGCTTTATCCAGCATCCTAGAAAGGATATCAATGGCTAAGATGAAGAGGTAGGGGGATAAGGGATCCCCTTGCCTCAACCCTCTCCCGCTTTTGAAATATCCCGCTAGTTCACCGTTTATTGCAACAGAGAAATGTGGGGTTGTGATGCAAGCTCTGATCCATCGAATGAATGTAGCTGGCAGGTTAATAGCCTCAAGAACCCTGATAATGAATTCCCAGTTCAGTGTATCAAACGCCTTCCTAATATCAACTTTGATTGTTGCTCCCTTTGCAGCCAATCTACGAGCGTAGCCCGTGATTATTTCACTAGCTAACATCACATTATCCAGCATTAATCGTCCCCTTGTGAAGGCTGCCTGGTTCCGGGAAATCAGACTTGGCATCAATGGTTGAATTCTCTTGGCTAGTATGCTAGATATAACCTTGTAGACCACATTGCAACAGCTTATCGGCCTAAAATCCGTGAGCGATACAGCTCCTGGTTTCTTAGGGACGAGCGTGATGGCAGTGGCATTGAGCTGACCAATTAGCTGGCCTGTGCGGAAGAATTCCTGAACCGCAGCAACTAGGTCTCCACCCACTACTTCCCACGCCGAGACAAAAAACTCTTTAGTGTACCCATCCGGCCCTGGTGCCTTATTGTTCGGCATCGAGAGCAAAATACCCTTTATATGATCAGCAGAAGGCATTTCCGTGAGGCCAGCAAGACTATCCCTCTCAACCCGAGCCTCTGTTACTTCCCGTAGTGATTGAACCGATGGAACTGAAGGTTGGTTCGGTCCTGCTCCAATGAGGGCTGAGAAGTAATCAACTGCATGCCGCTTAATGTCTCTTAGTGACTGAATTCTATGGCCAGCTTCGTCTTTCAAGAAATGAATATGGTTCCCTGATGCCCTTGTTCTACTCATATTGAAGAAGTACTTAGTATTTCTGTCCCCTTCGCTCAACCATTTCACTCGAGATTTTTGCCGATAAAATGTTTCTTCAGCCATTATCATCTGCAACCATCGAGATGTCGGTTTTACTTGCAGTTGTTGCAATGTCGTTTTCTTTTGTAGAGTTTAGGATCAAGGATACTGATCTTTTTCTTCCCTATTGATCAAGTTTTTTTCTCCAACAATTAAACCACAAAGATTTTGTTAAATACACCATAGATTTTGATGATATAGAATCAGAATGTTATATATATATATATATATAAGACCATGTTCATCATCCAGGGTTGCTGAGAAGACATCTCTAAGAGAGAGGCCCAAAACGACCACGTTTTAGTCGAATCGGTTGTGTTGCGAAGGTCCGTACAGCCGACCTGTGGGTTTTGCTCTCGCGAACGTGCTTTCCAGACGGGGTGGTCTCTCTCTCTCTTAACGTCGTTAGATACAGAACTGCGCGTGTCGATATGCACAGTCGCACCTGTGCTTAACCGGGAGCTGAAAAGCGAACCGATCTGGTTTTCTCACCGAGGCTCTAACTCTAAAGACGCAGGGGCAAAAACATCACGATAATGTCTACAGAAGCATATACCAACGAATTACGTTTGCCCAATAATCTGATTCAGAAGTTTTGTCTGTGCTTTATTCACAGAAGTTGCAAAAATAAATCTCGATTTTTATAAAATTCTACAAGAGTAAAACAACATCAAAATAACAAAACATAAGATTCTGCAGTTGATTTATCATTGTAAAATTTCTTTGTTCACACCAAAACTCACAAGAGAAGAGGATCTCCTTCATCACTGATGCTAACTTTCTCTTGTCGATTTCTGTGATTAGATTCACCAGAAAGAATCTCGAACAAGATCACGACAACTTTCTCGAAAGGTTCTTCAAACCGCTTCCTACACACTTCAGTATCACGGTTCCTGTCGACGGATCGGGTTTTATCACAAACTTGACCCCCAAAAAGTCTCTTATGTTCCTCAATGTCTCGACTCCGTATGGAGACAATGTCCCTACACGAACC